TCCTAATATTTTTCAGATTGAATCTACAATCAAAAATAAATGATTTTCAATAAACCAGGGAATATCCATTATTTGTGTATGACATTTCCCACTGTAATTCTAACTTCTCATAAGGCTGAGGAGTAAGGATCACAAGTTTAGATCCAGAAAATACAACTTAGCAACACTGTATTTGAAAATAAAATAGAAAAGGCTGGAGATCTAGCTTAGTGTTGGAGCATTTGTCTAGCACATTCAAGGCCCTGGGTTCTATCTCCAGCATTCACCTACCCCCCAAAATGATACATAATTGGGGAATCTGTGCTTCTGTCCTTTAAAAATAAGAAAACATACTCTCAGTTTTTTCATGTGTTAATTTATGTTCTTCCTCATGCTAATTAAGTGTCCTGTACTACCAGAAAACTTGCATCAGTCATATTGTTATTTATTTAGTAAATTTGTATCACTGAATTGATAATGGTCCCTAGGTACTTTTCTTATGTCTTTTTTCTGAACAAATGTTAAGGTGATAATGCCATAGTTAGAATCTTTAAAAATTGTATGGATAATTTAGAAGAAGGGGATTTCATGTATCCATTCAGTCATGTAGAGGATGATAGCTACTGAAGTAGGCCTTGAAAGAGACAAAGACAAATAGGAACACTATTTGTCTTCAAAAAACTAAATGCTATGCATGATAATATGTGAATGATTATAAATCAGAGTAATGAAATCTTTTATTGCTAACGAACTATGTTTAGCATTTTTTTGTTTAATATTGCTCTAGCGGGGGCCTGGGCCTAGCTCAGTCCTTTAAGTGGCTGCTTCCACAAAGCTGTCAGCCTCAGGTGGCTGGAGTTCGAACCTCACAACTCTCCCGCTGGCCAAACGTGCCCTGAAGGCATGCGAGGAACAACAACAACAAAAAAAAATATTGCTCTAGCATTATTATATCTTAGACATTATTCTTTATCTTTGTTATAGTTGAATTTTTGAGTAATTCCTTTGTTTGTTTTGAGACAGGATCTGCAGGCTAATCTTGAACTCATGGTCATCCTTTTGCCTCAGCCTCCAAAGTGCTGGAATTATAGGCATGCGCCACCATGCCTGGCCAGATTACTAACCTGTGTAATTTTTTGCCTTTTGCAAATGAAATGAAGTTCCAACTCGGATAAGCTAGATGACCTCTTTCTCTGTACTATATTTTGCATCTAAGTAGCAAGTAGTGCTGAAGAAAAAATTCAGTAGAGCAAATCCATAATCATAAATTAATAGTAAAATAAGTTCAAATAGGCCCTAAATAGGGTGCAGATATCCT